ATTGAGTAGTCTCAATGATTGAGTAGTCTCAATGATTGAGTAGTCTCAATGATTGAGTAGTCTCAATGATTGAGTAGTCTCAATGATTGAGTAGCGTCAATGATTGAGTAGTCTCAATGATTGAGTAGTGTCAATGATTGAGTAATCTCAATGATTGAGTAGTCTCAATGATCGAGTAGTCTCAATGATTGAGTAGTCTCAATGATCGAGTAGTCTCAATGATTGAGTAGTCTCAATGATTGAGTAGTCTCAATGATCGAGTAGTCTCAATGATTGAATAGTGTCATTGATTGAGTAGTCTCAATGATTGAATAGTGTCATTGATTGAGTAGTCTCAATGATTGAGTATTGTCAATGATTGAGTAGTCTCATCTGTTTCATCTATAGACCTCCTTTTTAGACGTAGTTAGTCCAGGAAACAAAACCGCCCCTTTTGAACGTTTGAAAACGTTTTACACTTCGCTCTGGTCAACACTGGGCTGGAGCTCGACTGACGTACACAGCACCTAATTTTTGTTAAAACATTTAGAAAATTAAAAAGATAAACCATATATGTTGTATGTCAAGTAAACCTTTTGATGTTGATGAATTTAAATAATGAACGAAGCCTTTCCTTTTTGCCTGGTCCCTTTGCAGATGGAGCCCATACGTTAACCTGTGCCCTGATGCTGCTCAACACTGATCTCCATGGTCATGTACGTACTGTCAGCTTCTTCATGCACTCTGTGTTTCTGCACATTTTCCACTTCTCTGTTTTCCTCCTTGGAAAACAAAGCTCAAAGATAACTTATTGTCAGTAATGGTACGTTTCCCCTTATTTTCTCCACATTTCCTGCTCTTTTCTTCAACTGTAATTTCTGCCGACTCTCTCCCTCGCTCCTCGCCCTACTTTCTGACCTGTTTCTGTCTCCTCTTCTTGAACCGTCTCAGCTCTGCAGTGTTAACACTGAGAGCACTGCGGTCAATGTGCAGTCAGTTGTACATGTCCTAAGATTAGCTTTTACTGGGCCCTGCTACTCAGCTCATGTTTTAATGGATATCCCTCACCTAACTAATATCTCCTCTTCCTTTTAATTAATTTTTCTCTTTTTTCAAATCCTTTCCCTGCTAACCATAACTGGTCTTCTGGTCTGTCTGTGCCCCTGCAGGTGGTGAGTATATTTACCTACTAACACTTCCCTCAGTTACTTCTCTTCTGAGATAAATGTGGAATAAAAATTAAAAGCCCAACATTTTTATAGCTTCCAGTAACTGAAACACCAAAGTGTTAACAGATATATTCTTATCATGAGGAAACAGGAGGCGTTATAGTTGTTTTGGTAAAACTTTTTAAATGGTTATGCATAATGTAACTTTATATTACTTGCTCTGTCAATATATACTTGTGCTCAGAGTACAGTATGTTGGTGATGGCTCTCAGCTTCTCTCACACTAACATTTAGCTCAGCTCACTTTAGTAAAATTGACTAAGTGAAATCATCTTTGACTTAGCTAATGTCTCTTAGCTGTGGCAGCTATCTTGAACTGCCCATGAATGTTATTCAGTTGTAGATGTCCATCTAATGATTGCTGTCTTAGTGTCATTCAAATCTGTTCACTTCTTTTTTGAGACTTTTTATTTTATTTTATTTTATTTTATTTTTTGCTATCACAAGATGTTCCACCTTCACCTGTGGGCAATAATAAGGAGAAATCAGTTCAGTTCAGTTTATTTATACAGTGCCAAGTCACAACTAGCATCGTCTTTGGGCAATGTACACAAAAAAGCAGTATATCTAAAGAAGCCAGCAGATTGTGTTGAATCACTTCATCACAGTCTTCCATCCTGAGCAAACGGTGGAGAGGAAAAACTCCCTGCTAATCAGGAAGAAACCTCCAGCAGAA